GGGCGCGCGCGAAGAACGCGCGGGCGGGCGCCCCCCCCCCCCCCTCCGCGGGGCCGCGGCGCCCCCCCCTGCGCCGCTGCGGGCGCCGCTGCCGCCTCAGCGGGCACCGCGGCTGGCGCTTCGGCGGCGGCCTGCGCTGGCGCCCAAGCGGGCGCCGACGCGGCGGGCGCCGCGCCGCGCCCCCTCGCCGCTTCGGCAGGCCGCCCCGCGCCCTCGGCGGCGGCCTGGTCTGGTCCGCCGCGGGCGCCGCGCCGTTCTGCTTCTTGAGCCCCCTTGGCTTTCTTGGCGTTGGGCGGCCCCGCCGCGGGCATCGGCGCGCCCGCGTCGGCCTCCTCCCCGTCGCCCGACGCCCCCCCCCCCCGCGCCGCGGGAAGCGGCAGCAGCACCCCCAGGGATTCCTCCTGCTCGTCGGGCGCTGGGAGGGGCACCAGGTCGCTCTGCGCGAAGAAGAAAGACTCGTCGTAAAGGTCGGCGACTAGCAGCGGCATGGCGTCCGCCGCCACTGCGTTCGCAACCGCCCCGGCATCGGAGATCTCTGTCACGCCAGCGCCGCAACCCTTGGGCTCCGCGCGCGAAGGGAACTCGACGAATGCGTGGTTGACGGCCATATTCATGATCTCGCCGAGCTTGGCGTCGTCCTCGGGCGTGCTCGCCGCGCGGGCGGACTCGGCGACCTGCGGGGGGATGGAAAGGAGGGGTGCCGATGTGCCTGGCGGCGGGCTCCGTCCGACCGAGCTGCCCCTTGCTCCCGCTGAACTCCCGCCGTGGCTTCCGCCGACCTTTCCGCCGACCCGCCCGCCCGCCCACTCGGGCGAGGAGTAAGGGTGCACAGCAGGCCTATCTATGGCACCATGGAGGCCTGGGTTCGGCCGATGGCCTCGGGCGCCTGCCTGTGCGCCCAGGCGTCTGCTCAGGGAACGGGAGGGGGGCGTGCCGAGGTGCCCGTGCGATTGCCAGTGCGTTCTGGGCCGACTGAAGTTTGTGGATTGGCAGTCGAGACGGGGCCAGAGACCTGGGCAGAGTGCGCGTCCACTTTCTGCATCAGCTGCGTGCGCCTCCCTTCTCTGCTCATCCTGCGTAGGCCATGGGGCCAGCCAGAGCGCTATTCTAGGCCAGCTCCGCATCTACCTCTTGTGCGGCAGGGCTCCGCCCTCCCCCCCGTGGGGGGCATGTCAGCGTTCTCGCCCAAACTCGCCCGATGACGGCCCAAGAGGCCTCCAGGAGGGACCCACAACGGCCCGAGAGGGCCCCAAGACGGTCCAAGACGCCTCCGAGACGGCCCGAAAGGCCGCCAAGGTGCCCAGAAGAGGGACCATAATCATATTTCAAGCCCTCGGCCCCAGGGAAGCTCCCGAGAGGCCCCCAAGGGGCCCCAAGAGGCGCCCAAGAGGCCCCCAGTAAGGCCCAAAACGCTCCAGGAGGCTTCCAAGAGGTCCCCAAGAGGCTCTCAAGAGCCCCCTGAACTGTTCCCCTGGAAGGCCCTCCTGCTCTTCCTCCTCCTCCTCTTCCTCCTCGTCCTCGTCGTCTTCAGGGTCGGCGGCACCGGCCGCGAAGCCTTCGCATTCTGAAGCATGGGCCGCCGACCCCGACTAGTAGGAGGTGAGAGATCGTGCGAGATATTTGGCTGTCCATCTGCCCCATTCCCCCTCTCCTGGAGTCGAGAATTCCGTCCCCTGGCATCGTTGGGGTACGAGCCCCCCAGTGCACCTCCGGGACATCGGAGCCTCCGAATCCACCCTCCGCAGCCGCCAGGATGCCCCAAGAGCCTTCGAATATGACTCTGGCTCCACAGTGGCTCCACCACGCCACACGCCAGAGAGGCCTCAAGAACACCAAAGATGGCATCAAGACGCTCCCATTCGCCCAAAGGTGGCCCCAAGAGAGAGTCACCCGATTGCTGTTCCCCAGTTGTTTGTCAAGGTATTGTAGCGTTCTCCCATATCCTTGCTTCTGAAAACGGAAGACAGCCCGACAGGCACCTCATGCTGGCCCAAGGCGGCACACGAGGCCCGGGACGGCCCAAGAGTTCCCCAATCCAAGGGCCTCGCAGCCACCTTCGCTGACCGCTGGCCTCACGGAACGCGGCGGCGCCTCGGGGCAGAGTGCCCCTCGCCCTGCCGCGCTCCTGCCTCCCGCCCCCCACTGCCCGTGCCGCCTGCCCCTGCGCCCTGCCCCTTCCCCCTCCTGCCCCTTGCCCCCCCCCCCGCCGCGGCAAACCCCCCGCCCCCTGCTCGCCGCCGCACCCTGCCCCAACTGCTGCCGCTTGCTGCCGCCGCTGCCGCCGCTGCAGCCGCCGCGGCAGCCGCCGCATCCGCTCCAACCGCCGCGGCGACCCCCGCAGCCGCCGCCGCCGCCGCCGCGGCCTCGAGCGCTGGTGCTCCAGGTCGCCGAGCTGTCGCCTGCAGGACTCGGCCGCGGCCTCCAGCGCCGCCGCCTCGCGCTCGGCACGGCCCGCCCTGTCCTCGGGAGGTCGTCGTCGTCGTCGGCGTCGGCGTCGTCGACGTCGTCGTCACCGTCCGTCGTCGACGACGTCGTCAGTCATCACCGTCGCCGTCGCAGTCGTCGACGACGTCGTCAGTCGTCCATCGTTGTCGTCGCCGCCGCCGATATCGTCGTGGTCGACGTCAGCGGGAGGAGAGGAAGGGGGTGTCCTGCAGAGGGGGGATGAGGGGAGGATGGGGAGGAGCAGGGAAGAAGGATGCTCAGCAGCAGCAAGACACTGGACACTGGACGCTGCGGCGCGGCTGTTCGTCCCGCGGGACGGCCCGACGAGGGGCTACGCGGTGGCGCCTCGGCGCTGGCATATTTTACCGATATACATACATATACACATATATATATGCGCCGCTGGGCACGGAGTGGGCGTGTCCTGAGGTCCTTTGCCCAATCCCCGGAACCTCAGTCCTCACTCCTGAGGGGTCTTCAAGAGGCACGGAGCCGAAATTGCCAAATCCGCTGGGGCTTTTCGCATGGCCCCTCGGGTTCCAAGCGTCTTCTAGCCTGACTTTTTCGGTCCCAAGAGGGCCCCAAGACGGGCCACGCGGGGTCCAAGATGCCGCCAACCGCCAAGACGGTCCAAGAGGGCCCCGAGTCGCCCAAGAGGCCTCCAAGACGCCCCAAGAGGCCTCCAAGAGGCTTACCAAGATGGCCCCAAGAGGCAAAACCATTGATATTCCCATCCCAAGACGGCCCAAGAGGTCTTCAAAGGCTCCCAAGAGGGTCCCAACCAAGACGGCCTAACAGGGCCCCAAAACGACCCTAGAGGCGGCCAAGACAGCACAACAGATCCCAAAGACGGCCCCAAGAGGGGAAACACGAGCCGACAATTCCAGCCTTCCGTCAGAAGAGGCCCCCAGGAGTCCCCGAGAGGCCTCCAAGACGCCCCAAGATGCCTCCAAGAGGCTCCAAGAGGCCCAAAAGAGGCCCCCAGACGGCTCCCAAGACTCCAAAAGGCCCCCGTGAGGCCTCCCACGATATCCCAACACAAATCCAGGAGGCCTATAACTCACAATCCAGGCACGGTGGCGGGACTTGCCGTAGGCAGCTGCAAGTAGGCGGTGTGTGTATATATCTAAATATGCTTATAGACACAACTATGTTTACGTATCTATCCACATATATATATATACACACTTTTTTTGTATGCACATGTATTCAGTTATAGATTTCCCCGACAGTGCTTGCACTTAAGGGGTTATTGCTTGCGACCCAAGGATCTGGGCCTGATTGCCGTTTCCGCCGTCCTGTGGTGGCCCTGTCGCCGCCAGTCGCCACCCCTCGTCTGGGCCTGATTGCCGCTTCGCCCGCCATGTTGTGACCCTGTCGCCGCCCGTCGCCGCCCTCGTCTGGGACTGATTGCCCGTTCCGACGGCATGTGGTGGCCCCGTCGCCGCCCGTCGCCGCCCCTCGTGCGCTAAACATAGGTTCCACCACATAGGTTGCGTCACATAGATTGCACCACATGGATTGCAACACATGTATTGCTGAACACATCTTAGCACAAACAGTCGGATTCGATTGGACAGGACACGCGAGAGGACACAAGACCCTTCCGAGGGTCACGTCGCCACAGGAATGCAAGAGGCATGGATCGCGAGACACAAGACACGACGGTACCCTCGCTTTGGCAGGGTCGACCTACTTATCAGGGCCGACTGTAGATTCAACCCCAGATTTTACAAAACATAGTTTGCATCAATTAGCGTACATAATGAAGCTCTCATCACACATGTTGCACGGCATAGATTTCAACACTACGTATAGCTCACACCGCATAGGACCCAGATTGCACCATATAGATTGCGGCACATACAGTGCACCACATAGTATTGCACCACACATTTTGCTTCGCATAGGTTGCACCACATAGCATGTACCAATATTGCACCAAACAGAATGCACCATTCATATTGCGCCACACAGATTGAATTTCATAGATTGCTTAGCATCGGCCCTCCACGCAGAGCAGACAACCTACATTGCATCGCATATATGGCATCACATAACTTGCAACACATAGCTTGCACCGCATAGCTGCATCACATAGCTTGCACCACGTAGTTTGCACCACTCTGGTTGCACCACATATACTGCTTTCCATAATCTGGACCACATAGCTGACACCAATATTGCACCACAAAGGTTGCATCACATGGACTGCATCACAGATATTGCACCACACAGCTTATACCACATACATTGTACCACATAGATTGCAACACAACGGCTGCAACGCAGAGTAAGCTAGAACACAACGTTTGGTGTCCACGATGGCACACACACGCAAACACACGCACGCACCTACCCACACACGCATGCGCACGCTAGCAAACACGCACGCACGGACGCAAATGAACATGTAATCATTCCCCATGTGACAGATTACGTAAATGCACATGCTTAGATGTAATTACGTATGCATGTACATGTTTTCAAGTTCTAGATGGACGAACACATGTGCAACACACCTGCAGATGTGTACGTACATGTACTGTACACATGCCGCATGTGTATACGATAGAGTGATGAGGAGGAGTCCTGCTCTTTTCCGTCGCCCTGGGTTCAGACTGGCGGATGATGTCCCACTCCTCCACCTCACTCCGTGTTCCTCCTCCCCTTCCTCTTCATCCTCGTTCTCCCTCTACGCTGCCCCGTCTCCTCCGGCGCCTCCTCATCGTCCTTCCCTGCCTCCTCCTCCTCCTCCTCCTCCTCAGGACGAGGACGGCTAGGGCAACGAGCAGCGGCAGCGGGCGACGAGGGTCGGCGGCGTCCTCCTCGGCGGAACTCTCGCCAGACAGCGCCCGCAGCTGCCCCTGCAGCTCCTCGGCCATGGCGGGGGGGAGGGGGGGACGGGGATTGCCATCGCTCGGACGTTCATTCCCTGTGCATTTTTCGGTTTCGTGCGTGTTTTTGATTGCTCGATGATTCAGGATGCTCCTCCAGGGTTCTCACCGAGAAACAAAAATGCACACGTCCGAGCGATGCCAAGGGGAGGGAGGGGGGAGGGAGAGGAGGGCGGAGGAACAAAAAGCGAGCGAAGAGTGTGGGTGATGAGGCGGGAGGCCCTGGGTGGAGGGAGGCGTTTCCCTCTCTCTGCGGTGCCAGATCCTGTAGGCCCCGTCTGGAGAACAAGGAGAAGGATGAGGAGGTAGAAGACGGGACTAGTGAAGTAAGGGAGTGTGGGAGGGAAGAAGGGGTGGGAGGATAGGACGATGATAAACATGTGGGGAAGTATGATGGCGATGATGTTGCTAATGATGATATTGATGATGATGATGATGATGATGATGATGATGATGATGATGATGATGATGACGATGATGATGCTGATGATAATGATGACGACGACAAGGGGAGTAGGAGGGAGAAGCAGGAAGGAGAAGGACAGAAGAGACGAGAGGGAGGAGGGAGGACAAGGGGCGCGAAAGGGATGATAACTGCTGATGATGAGGAAGAAGCTGGTCTGAGCTGAGAGAGACGAGGACAAGTGGCAGGATGACGGGGATGACCACCTCCTCAATGTCCACTTACGCTTCAGAAATATCGCCGGTGATCCTTGGGGCGATGCTCCAGGGGTCACCTGGCCACAATTCGATCCACCAACCCGGGGCCTGCTGGCCCTGGAGGAGGGCTACGATCGATGGCTCTCGCTTGCCAGCAGGAGCAGGAACGACCTCCGCCACCTTCCTGCACTCTTCCTCCTCTGGAGGCCTCCAAATTGGGGTCCGAAGTGTAATGGGGTCGGAGGACGGCGCCGCATCGGCGATGCGCGTCGATGTCGGCGATGCATCGCCGCGGCCGGCCTGGTGACATCCGGGCTCCGCATCGGGCCGCACCGCGGATGCCCCGGGGCCGAGCGGCGCGATCGTCCGACCCCATCTGCTCGGACCCCATCGCCCGCTGAGCCTCATGTTGCTCCCATCGTATCTAAGGACCACGACCCAAGAATCATTCCGAGCTCCCAGAAAAAGTGTCCCGAAAGAGAGAGTCGAAACAGTGTCTCCCGAGGCCCGACACGTGAAAACCCTCGGCCCTCGAGTTTGGGGGTGCGCTCGACACTCTTTCTGGCGATCAAGGCTGAAGTAGGTTGGAACATCATAAGCTGAGCCCAGTCCTCCACCCCCGCGTCGTCGCTCCTCCGTCCACGCCTCCTCCTTGCCTCCGCTCTCGCCACCTCTGCGCGTGCTTCTACCCTGAAGGGGCCCAAGGACACACAAATAAATACACACAAATAAAACGATTCCCCATCTTGTCCCATCTTCGGGGGGTTTTCGTCTTCCCCCCCCCCCACTTCCCATAGTTTCCCATATGTTCGGGGGAATCGACGATGAATTGTGTCTGTGTGTTTCTTTCCCTCCTGACACCCCCCCACCCCTCTCCTCCGCGAGCCAGTCCCCATCTGCCCCATCGGATGAGGCACGGGCGGTGGCGGAGGAAGGCGTGGCGGAGGAGGATGAGAAGAAGGGCGAACAGGGAGGCGATGACCGAGAGGGCGAGGACGAGGAGGAGGAGGAGTGAGGATGACGCCACGAGCGGGTGTGCGCTCGGCGGCCTGGCTAAGAAAAAAAAAGGAGAGCGAGGAGGACGACGCCCTCGCCTGTTGCTCCGTCCTCTCCCCCGCCCTCTGCTCCCCCTTCTGGTTTCCTTCCGTCCCCGTGGCCTTCGGACCATCACGAAGGGGCCCTGGAACACACGAAAAAATACACACAAATAACAGGACCCCCCATATTTTCGTATATGTCCTTGGTTTTTGCCTTTCCCACCACTTCCCATAGTTTCCCCTATTTTCTGGGGAATCGAAGATTAATTGTGTCTGTGTGTTTTTCCTCCTGACATCACTCGGGCCTCTGGTGGCCGTTCGGGACGGCCGAGGCACCCCCGGAACGCCCTCGGCGCGGCGCAGCCGATGGAAGGCATCCCGAGGCTGGCAAGGCGCCGAGATCTGACGACTACGCCCGAACCGAACACCTCGAACAGCGACCCTCCCCTCCCACCCCTCCTCCTCCCCCCGCCACCCCTGGGAGTAGCCCTCACTCCGGAGTCACTGGGGAGCAGCCCACGCTGGAGAGCGAGCAACTGCTGTGAGGTTGCGGCGGGGGGGCACCACCCGCGTTTTCCTTGCTAACCCTCTTCCTCTCATTCCTCCTCCTCCTCCTCTTCCTCCTGACCATTACGCAATCACCCGTGGACGGCACCGTCGGACGATTCCAGAGAGACGAGCAACAGGAGGACCGCGAAGGGAGGAGTTTGGAGAAGGAAGAGAGGATGAGAACAAACTGTGTGCGCTCGCTCGGGAGCGGCCAAGAGGGGGGTGTCCAAGAGGGGGGGGTGCAAATCATGACCGGCGGCATGTGCGCGGCCCAGCGGGGGAGCCAGGGACGTAATGAAATAAGAAGAGGGCGCCATGCAATCTGGGAAATATCATGGCCCCCGCCATGATATCCACCCCCCCCCTAGTCATCACCCCCCTCTTTTCCGCCCCCGAAAACTGTGTGCGCTCGCGCCAGATCCGGCGGATTCCGGAAACCCTGAACCCCAAAAGGTTGCCATCTCTGGGGAGGGAGACTTTTGCTTCCGCTGGCCTTCTTGTTGTTTTCCGCCGGCCTTCTGCCAGCTTCCGCCGGTGGAGCCGCCCTGATTCTACTTCCGCGCCGCCCTCCGCCGACCTGCCCCCGAGGACGAGGGACGACAACTCCTTCGACCCTCGTAGGACGACAACTCCCCCGAGGACGAGGACGAGGGACGACAACTCCCCCCGAGGACGAGGACGAGGGACGACAACTCCTTCGACCCTCGAAGGCGCAGCCCTCCTCTGCAGCGCCCCACCTGACAGCCTCCCCCGTCCCCTCCCCCTCCCCTCAGCGAAGACGACGACGACGACGGCGACGACGACGACGCCGCCGCCGACGACGACGACGACGACGCCGAGCGGCGCGACGACGACGACGCCGCGCCACGACGCCGACCCCGCAGCGTCGCCGCCGAGCGGCGGCGGCCCCGCGGCGGGCGTCCTCGGCCGCGCCGCGCGCGGCGCCGAGCTCCGCCTCCAGCCGGCCGCGGCACCCGAGCAGGCGCTGGGCCTCGACCTCGCCGGCGCGGCCGCCGTCGCCAGGTTTCGTCGGGCGTGTACAGTCGAGGCGTTGACCTGAGGAACCCTAAGTAAGGAACGAGGCCCCGTCGTCGTCGTCGTCGTCGTCGTCGTCGTCGTCGTCGTCGTCGTCGTCGTCGTCATCCTGCCATCGTCGTCGTCGGCGGCGGCGTCGTCGGGGGTCGTCGTCGTTGTCGGCGGGAGGCTGTGCGGAAAAGTCGCCGTCGTCGGAAGGACCCACGGATGCCGTCGTCGTGGGAGGTTGCGAGGAAGGACGAGGATGAGGAAAAGGAGGGCGAGGGTGCTCCGAGGAAGCGAGACAACCGAGGAATGATGCTCTCCTTCCCGCGCGGCAGCACGAGAGACAGGGCGTCGTTCCTGACAGCGTTGGCTGGCCCGAGTGGGCCCGTGCTGGTAAAAACGCCCTTTGCACGCCCACGCACCCCCGGTGCATACAGCCAGCTCGCATCAGAAGGATGCACGGTAAGGGTGCAAAAAACGCCTTGGAGGGCCACGCTGGCGTTCTCCGAACGATGCTGGCCAGCGAAGGCGGCGAAGGATGGACCGAGGAAGCGAGGATGCACGGGCACCCTTTGGGAAGCTTGCCCGTCCTTGCCCTGCGGGTTCACTGTGCTTCTCAGAGCCGGCGTGGGCACGCAGAGCCGCACCCACCTGGACTGTCAGAGGTCCGCGCGGACGTCTCGGACACCGCTGGAAAACCCCTGACCTCATTCAGAAATTCAGCGGCAGCCCACGGGAGGCCCCCCATACCATCATGTCAGCCCTTGCGAACGGACGCGAACCGATTCGAAGTCGACGCCGATCGGCGCTGGGTCGATGCTGCATCGACGGACATCGGCGCTACCTAGGCGCTAGATCTGCGCTACATCATCGTCTCCCAGACGCAGATGAAAGCTGACCGGCGCCAGTCACCAACGTGTGCGCGGAAACTTGGGAATGGCGCGTGAGCCCCGTGGCGGCGCCCTCGACGCCGCTGGTGGCGCGTTCCGCGCGCCCGCGGGGGGCGCCCAGCGCCGATGCGAGCAACCCAAACGGAGCTGCGAATGGTTCACGTTGGGCCATACTTTCTCTTTTGACGGACCAAGTCGCGCAAATCTGGCACACAAAGGAGCTGGAAAGCGGGAGACTGGAAATCCCACAAACGTGGAAGTGGCCAGGCCCGGAAAAACTGGCAGGGGCTGAAACGCAAGTCCGACAAGTGCGGGAGAGTTCGCCAGGGCCTGCCGTCCTGGCGGTCGTCGTTGTCGTCGTCGACGCCGACGTGCTCTGCGTTTTCGTCGTCGTTGTCGTCGCTATCGTCGTCGTCGTCGTCGTCGTGTTCGTTATCGTCGTCCTCGTCGTCTTCGTCGTTGTCGTCCTTGTCGCCGAGTGAAACGACGAGGGAAGCCGAACAGGGCTGGACAAGTTTGATGGGGCTGACCCCGGCTACGGCTTCTCCACGCCTTCTCCAGCCCCTTTTGCAGCAACTCGCGGGCGCCTCCCATACCGTCTCGCTCTCTCGCGAATCAGCGCTTACCGACGCTGATCGACGCTAATCGACGCTAGACCGATGCTAATTGACGCGAAATCAGCGCTGGTCGACGCTCACTCGGCGATTCCTCACCGATTGACAGAGGCTAGCGCACGCTGGTACACTTCAAAAACAAAGCTTCGAGGAAATACAAGGCTCCCATGCGCTGCTGCCGACAGCCTCCCTGTATGACTCCGCGCGGCGTTTTTCGAGCGATGGCGGAACTGGGCTTAGTGGGACCTGGTATAATGATATGTACTGAGAGACGCCGCCCCTCCCAGCCCAATTCCACTGATCTGGACTGCCGCCACTCGGGGGAAGCCGAACTGATGCACACTTTGCTTAGTACTGGCAGCGAAGTGGCCCCAGCCAGCACGCCGAACCCATGACGAACTGCAACTGCCCAGCACGTCGCCATCATGCCGTCGTCGGCCAGGGAGGGAACACCACGCGAAGGACAACGAGACAAGGTCGCAAACATCCAGCACGAGTGCCGTAGGTGGGGTGTCGTTTCCTTTTTGGTCGATTAATGATTGAATTTCCGCTCTTGATTTGTAGGGCTTGCGTGCCCGATCACTGACCGGGGTTCCCCTCACCCAGAACAGGGCCCAACATCGAACATCGGCTCGGAATCCCAAGTCGACTCGGAGCAGATGCCGGAAGCCATCGGCATCGCCTCGGAACGAATCAACGAAGTCGGCTCGGATCGGAGTCGGAAGCCATCGACATCGAATCGGACTCAAGCGGGGGGTCGAGACGAGCCTTAAGTCGGGCGTGTCCCCCTACAGGGAAATTTTGAACGAGAAATGAAACATACCCCAAACATGCCCCAAAAGTATCAAAACAAACTACTCAAACATAGTCCCCGGACTATGTTTGGACTATGCTTGGGGTATTCTTCATTTGTCATCGAAAATCCACCGAAAATACCCCAAAAATATTCGAAAAGAGCCCTGGCTCCCCTCCCCGCTGGTGGGGTCCTGGCCGTGCCCGCCCGCGCCGCGGCCCAACCGTGCGCCCCTCTCCCCGCCGCGCGCTCGCGGGCCCGAGAAGGCGGAGAAGGAGGAGGAGGAGGAGGAGGAGGAGGAGGAGAAAGAGGAGGAGGACGAGGAGGTAGAGGAGGAGGAGAAGGAGGAGGAGGAAGAGGAGGAGGAGGAGGGGGAGGAGGAGGAGGAGGAGGAGAAAGACGAGGAAAATTGTCTCGGATGTATCCTTAGTCAGCGGGTCGTGCACTCGCACCTCAGCCCGTAGGGGGGCGGGGTCTGGCCGATGCGGGTGTCCGCCGCGCAGACTAAAGCTGGGGGATGACGGATAACCACGATGCTGAGGTGCTTAGTGAGGAACACCCGTCGATGTTCCACCTCTTTATCGATTTCGCTGGCCGCCAACCCCTCCTCACCCCATGCCCCGAAGTGATCCTGTCGAATCGGGGCTCCTACGGGGTGGCATCCCATATTGGGGGAGCGAACTTGCCGCAGCAGTGGTCCGCAATTTGACTCCTGGCGTGCACTGCCCAGCGGTTCCCCTCCGGGGAGGAAGCGGATCCCACGGTGGGCCCGATTGCTTCCCCGCCGCTGAATTCAGGGGCTCTTGCACTTAGCGCAGGGACCCTGGCAGGTCGGGCAGACGCCGGGAGCTTTAGCCCCAGCGTAGGTGTGGCAAAGCGGCAGGGGCCCCAGCCCATGCAGGCAGCCTGCGATGCTTGCGTGCTGAGTGCCACTTCGGGGGGGACCCCCCTGTGAAGATGGGCGCCTCTCTTCACATACTAGCACCTGTGCCGCGCGATAGCGGCACAAACGGGGCGTCGCCCCATCGGGGTGACTTCCCCCTGCGAGGTTGGATGCCGCGAGCGTTCCAGTCGCATGTTGATGCCAGTGGCCCGCGTAACGGTCTGGACGGCCGTAGTTTTTAGCAAGACCGCGAAAACGACATGAAACCGGCTTTCTGGGTTGCCATCCCCGCTTGGCGATGGCCCCAGGATGCCACAACAAAGTGTGGTTTTTTTTTCCTCTGTTTGGTCAGGGCAGCAGGGCGAGTGGCAGCAGAAGCATGGTAGAGTTAGCGTCCACTTGTACATCGTAATCCCACTAGTTTGGTTACTACCTGTATGGCTGGCTAGCTGATCCGGTCGAATCAGCGGGCCAGGGGCTACCGCGAACTTGCTACGCAGTGGTCCGTAGTCCCTGGCCCTAACAGCCTTGCTGCGCGGGTAACGCATGTGGGGCCGAAGCCCCAGCTTTAGGGGTCGACGCCGGAAGGGTAAAACCCCAGTGTGAAGCGTCCTATAAGTTTCCGGCACCGTCGGAAACCTGCCCCCGAGACGGTTTCCGACACCGTCGGAAACCTACCTCCATAGCGGCCCGAATGGGAGAAACGTAACAGACGCTTCATGCACATCTCACCCCTAGAGGGGCAAACATGTACTTTGACATTATGGGGCTGCACCACCCCAGAAAAGGCACGTTGTTGATGCTGGGGTGCTCACCTCAGTGGGGCGGCCGTGAAACGCGCCAAGAATTTATTAATAAATCCTCTGGCCTGCGAGCCAGGGCCCTACAGTTGTACTTCGTAATCCCACTAGTTTGGTTTCTACCTGTATGGCTGGCTTGCTGATCCGGTCGAATCAGCGGGCCACGGGCTACCGCGAACTTGCTATGCAGTGGTCCGTAGTCCCTGGCCCTAATAGCCTTGCTGCGCGGGTAACTCTTGTGGGGCCGAAGCCCCAACTCTAGGAGACGCGCAGCAGGCAGACGACCCCCCACGCCCGTCCGACGGGCAGACGCCGCGGGCTCCCGAGGAGGCCGTCGAGCTGGTAGGAGAAGCCGATGGTGGCGAGGACCCTTGGCCAGACGAGGAGGAGGACGTCTTCGGGCTAGGAGGCAGCTTCAGCGAGCCTGAGACCGAGCGGCAGCGGACGGCGGCAGCGGCAGCCACCAGGCAGCGAGGAGCCAGTCGGCGATGGCCTCGGAGGCTTCCGGGGCTGCCCGGAGGGCCGCCGCCCCCCCCCTGCCGGCGCCAGGCCGTAACTTTTTCCAAGATGGGTCAGGCCTGTCCGGGGTCGCCGCCGCGACCGCCGCTGGTGCATCCGGCACCGCAGCCGGGGCCGCCGCCGGGGCCGCTGGAACCGCCGGGGAGGCCCTTGCAAGGGGGGCTTCCAGGGGCCGCCGCCGGGGGGCCAGGGGGCTCGTCGCGGACCGTGTTTTCCCATGGGGAAAAACACAGTGTCTGGGGCCGCTCCCGGCCCCCGCCGGGAGCCCGCCCGGGCGCCGCCAGGGCCGCCGGGCGGCTCGTCGCGGGCGCTGGCGGGGCCGCGGCCGGCGGAGGCGCGGCCGCGGCAGTCGAGGGACCCCTCGGAGGCGGCGGCGACGCCCGACCAGACAGCCTGGAGGCGGAGTTCGAGGGCGTCGCGTGGTCGTCTGCGACGGCTCCCAGACGGGCTGGGCGGCCATGGCGGTCGACGCCGAGGGCAGAGCCACCGCGCAGGCCTGGGGCCCCCTGCCGGTCGCCCTGCCGACCCAGCGCACAATCAAGCGCGCAGAGCTCTGGGGCTTCCTGCAGGTGCTGAGGCACATCAGGACGGAGGCATTGGGCGCGAGCGAGCCGTGCGTGATCTATACAGACCACCTGGCCATCGTGCTGGGGCGGCGCCGTGGCCGGGCGTGGTGCTGTAACGGCAAGCGCGCGCGCCGTCGTCTGGAGGCAGATCTGGTTCTGCGTCGAGGATCGCGAGGTGCCCGTGAATGCGGTGAGGCACTGCAAGGCGCACCGCAGCCGAGCGGTGATGGCGACCCTGGAAGGCCCCGAGAGGAGGGCGGCCCTCGGGAACCAAGGTGGACCGCTTGGCAAAGCAGGCCGCGGAGCTCGACGCGGGCTTCGGCAGGGACCAGGCGATCAAGGAAGCTAGCCAGAAGGTGGGGTGGGCGCTCCACAACATCGGCTGGTGGCACGAGCGGATTGACGACTGGAACGACATGCAGCCGATGCCGTCGGACAGGCCGCCGCCCAGGAAGGCGTGCACCAGCAGTCGCCCCCTCGACCTGGCCCAGCACGACCTCGAGGTGTTCGGCAAGGGCATTCGCTGCAGGGCCTGCATGAGGAAGGCCGCCTCCGCCTCGGCGCGCTGGAACTTGTTGGCCAGCCCGTGCGCGCCCATGCCGTGGAGGAGAATGGGCGCGCCTGAGGCGGACCCCAGGCAGATCACGATCCTCGGGCGCCAGGCGGCTTGGGCGGGGCCGAGTGGCCAGCCTGACGGCGAGCGGAGGGCCGGCAGTGGCCACGAGTGGGTGACAGGAAGGGCCGCCATTGCGGCGTTTGGGGGGCCCTCGCGTGGCCTTGAGCCAGCTGCGACGGCGCGGAGCCACAGCGAGAAGATCGCTCACCTGTTCCGAGCAGCCGCGGGCCCAGTGCGAGAAAGCGTGAGGAGCCCGAGGGAGGCGCCGCAGGTCGAGGCGCTGGCCCCAGAGGGCGAGGCCGACATTGGCGAAGGGGGGTCCCGCTCCAGCGTGGCCGAGGAGCCGCCTGCGCGGCCAGTGGAGGCAGAGGCCGCCGCCGAGGCAGGCGGGCCCGCGCCTGCAGCGAGGCCGAGGGTGCCGCCGAACCCTGCGGCCCGAGCAGGGCCCTCGGCGCGCGCGAAAAAGTCCACGTGGTCCGCGAGGTGCACGGCTACGTGGTCTGCGCAGCGTGCGGGGCCCACGCCAGGCGGCGGATGGAGGGCCTGGCCAGAGGGTGCCCAGGTTGGCCCGCCAACCCCAGCAGGGCCGACAGGGTGCGACGCCGGAGAGCGGACCGCATCCTTCGAGGCCTCCATCCGAAGGCCAACATGAGCCTGGACGAGTGAGGGGGGCAGGGCAGTGCAGCGATTATTCATGAATAGTGTGTGCATGTCTTGCCTGTGCGCGAATTATCTTGGTAATTCTGCGTTGCAAATTATGGGTACCTCGCATGGGTACATCGCACGTGCACGCATCATTACACTCGCTCGGGATCTCTCGAAACTCGCCCCCTCTACAATCACACAATATGGTTGGCTTGCTGATCCGGTCGAATCAGCGGGCCAGGGGCTACCGCGAACTTGCTATGCAGTGGTCCGTAGTCCCTGGCCCTAACAGCCTTGCTGCGCGGGTAACTCTTGTGGGGCCGAAGCCCCAGCTCTAGGAGACGTCATGTCTCTGCACGTACAACAAACAGCATGGATACATCCCGTACGAAACGATTGTACGACTCTCATGCAGCAGTCTCTGGCTCACGAGGGCCCTGGATTTTGGCTCAAATCGGGCACCCGGGATTTAGGCTCCAATCGGGCACCCGGGATTTTGGCTCGAATCGGGCACCTGGGGGCGCTCAAAATAAAACCCCGCCATAAGCCTCCTTAGGGCGGGGTTTCGGAGGATGGAGTTAGAGGCCAAGGCCCCGCGGGTGGAGGGCCACCCTGTTCTGTATGGCTGGCTTGCTGATCCAGTCGAATCAGCGGGTCAGGGGTTACCGCGAACTTGCTATGCAGTGGTCCGTAGTCCCTGGCCCTAACAGCCCTGCTTCTGGCAAACTGACCTGCCTAGGGTATTGGGGACACGGTACACAGTGACCCCACTGCATGCGTGATGACGCGTTTCGTGCAAAAGCAAGCCGAATTAAGCCTTTGTCGCCCCGACCCCCACTCCCTGGTCCTCGTGGTCGGGGTGCTTATGGAACCCAGCTGGGATCCTTAAAGGCTGCCCCGTGCGTCCCCGACCACACCGAGAACCAAGGAGGCTGGGGGGTCATCGGCACGGGGGGAAAGAAAGAGGAGGAGGAGGGCCCTGACCGGGGGGCCCTGACCGGGCTTCGGGGCCCTGACCGGGCTTCGGGACCGTCAAGAACCAACTCAGGATGAAACTGTCCCGGTGAATGGGTCGATACCTCTGGGGGTCGACTGCATGAAAACATACAAATATGACGTCTGGTGTCTGGGTCTTGGCGAGGCGGGGCAAAGGGCAGTGCCGCGTCGAGGAGATCTCACAGCGCGCGGAGGAGGAGGCGGAGGAGGAACAGGAGTTGACACCCTCGCCCTTCCCGTGCTCCTCGCCCTCGCAGAGAAGGGAACGGGGGAGGGTGAGGAGGGTGAAGGAGAGTGGACGGGGGGTCAGGATGGAGAGGGAGAGAGGGGGAGGCAGGCAGGGAGGAGGAGGGGGACAATGGGGGAGGAGGAGGAGGAGGAGGAGGAGGAGGAGGAGGGGGAGGAGGAGGAGGAGGGGGAGGACCACGGCGGCAGAAGAAGAGAACAAAGCACAACCATACATACACTTTTGGCGCTCCGCGCGGATTTCTTGGATCTGCGCTGGGCTCCCCTCCCAGGCACCGATCCAAGGAACCCCGCGCAGAGCGCCAGCAGTTTATGTTTATGTTCTTCTCTTCGAGACGGGGGCGCCGCCGACGCCGACACCGAGGGCAGGGACTGAGCGACGAAGAGCAACGGTCCGCAAGCGAGACGACGCAGCGATCGCGCGCGGTGTTTTTGTTCTGGATTCTGGAGCGTCGGATCTCAAGGGAGGCGGCCTGGCGTCCCGGATCCGTATGATTTGATGGTCCGCAGCGCCGGGATGCATGTGCTGCCAGGGATTGCGGCCGTGTGTGGCAGGGGTGAGAGCATGACCATGTGTGAAGGGGCCCTGGGACACACACAAATAAATACACACAAATAAAAAGGTTCCCAACATTTTCATATATTTTCTGGGCTTTTGTCTTCCCGCCCAATTCCCATATTTTGCTATATTTTCTTCGGAATCGACGATTTATTGTGTCTGTGTGTTTTTGTTCCTCCTGAATGTGAGCGACGATCGAAAAAGGTTCTTACGCGAGATGGCGTGGCGACCTTGCGCCACGGCTTACGCGGGCCGCCAGCGCGGCACGCCGCATTGGAGACGAGGGTGCTTGCGCGCGACCTTGCGCCGGCAACTTGCGCGCCAGTGTCGGCGCAGACGACCCCGCCTTTCTGCGTCGCTCATGTGACCCCGCCTTTCTGCGTCGCTCATGTGCGCCGTAATGTATTTCGAACCAGACATGGCGCCATGTAGCAGGATTGAGAGCACAGCCACAATGTATTGTCTGTCAGAGGTCGTGGCCGTACGGACCAAACATGTAGCTGGCAGCGTGGCGAGAAAACAAGACCATAATCAGCTGCGACACAAATCTCAAGCGAAACGGCTGCCAAGGCTGCCCGACAGAACGGCCTCGGGCTCCCCGATCCCCCTGTGGTACTCTTCTGTTGTCCGTGTGACCTCCATTGATACGCTCTAGCGAAAAGCTGTTAGGGAGCTCGACCACAAGAAACCATCCACAAGAAACCCAACCCTGAGACCCCAGGACGTCAATTGATTTTTGGTGTGGGAACGCCACGCTTTCCATTGCAAAACCATCGAAACCCAAGAAAACCCAGGGCACCCTGGACGCAAGCAGGGCGCTTCTTGAACCCAGGGCGCCCTTGAGGGAAGCAGGGCGTTTCTTTGCATGGGCTTCCACTATAAGAAAACAAACTCGGCCAGAGCCCTGCACCCTATCTTGTCACGTCGGGCATGTCCTGCTGCAGGCGGATGTTGAGCGCAAAGTGGGAAATGGTCCCAAACTCTGCAAAACAAACAAACTAGTTTGAACATCGCCCCCGTATCATTGTTTACTCCTATTTCTGACTACTCCTCGTGTAAGACGGCGTGCCCGACTTCACACTGCCGTTTCTGCTCCACTCGTCAAGCCGGGTCGGCCTGTGAAGGTTCCGGGGCCCGATGCCCGGCGCCAACGCCCGGCTCGAAACCATTGCGGCGCGAGGCCAGGCGCACCTGTTCCCCGACGAGGGGAGGAGGAGGAGGAGGAGGAGGAGGAGGAGGAGGAGGAGGAGGAGGAGGAGGAGGAGGAAGAGACGGAGGACGAAGCGAGAAGATGAAGAGGACGAGGAGGACGAGGAGGAGGAGGAGGAGAATAAGGAGGAGGAGGAGAAGCAGGAGGAGGAGGAGGAGGGGAAGGAGGAGGAAGAGGAGGAGGATGACGGGGAGGGGGAGGAAGAGGAGGAGGAGTAGTATAACGGGGAGGAAGATGAGGAGGAGGAGGAGGTGGAATGGGAGGAGCACGAGGAGGAAGCGAAAGGGTGAATAAGGAGGACGAGGAGGAGGATGAGGAGGAGGATCAGCGAGGAGGTGAAGGAGGAGGACGTGGAGGAAGCGAGGAGTAGGAGGAGGAGAAGCAGGAGGAGGAGGAGGAGGCAAGGCGAAGTCGCCAGGATCTGAGGGAAGGTGGGAATCATCGCCGCCGACGGCGCCCGACCACGACGGCGCCGCAACTGCTGCGGCGACGATGGGCAGCGGCGGGCCGCCTCGGCGCGGAGTGCCTGGCCCTCGGCGGCCTTGGCGCCTGGGCGCCACGCAGAGGCCTCCGCCAGGGAGCGGCGGAGCCGCACCACCTGCGGCTCACTCCTCCTCCTCTTTCTCCTCCTCCTCCTCCTCCGCCTCCTCCTCCGCCCTCCTCCTCCTCCTCCTCCTCCACCTCCTCCTCCTCTTCCTCCGTCCTCCTCCTCCTCCTCCTCCGCCTTGCTCCTCGGCCCTCCTCCTCCACCTCATCCGTCCTCCTCGTCCTCCTCCTCCTCCGCCCTCCTCTTCCTCCTCCTCCGCCCTCCGACATCCGCCTTCTCCTCCTCCTCCTCCTCCTCCTCCTCGTCCTCCTCGTCGTCCTCCTCCTCCTCCTCCTCATCCTCCTCCTCGTCCTCCTCTTCCACCCTCCTCCTCCTCCTCCTCCTCCTCCTCCTCTTCCTCCTCCACCCTCCTCCTCCTCCTCCTCCTCCTCCTCCTCCTCCTCGTCCGCCTCCTCATCTATCCCCTCCTCCACCCTACTCCACTTCGTCCTCCTCCTCCTCCTCCTTCCCTCCCCCTCCTCCTCCTCCTCCTCCTCGTCCTCCTCCTTCTCGTCCTCCTCCTCCTCCTCCTCCTCCTCCTCGTCATCCTCCTCCTCTACCTCCTCGTCCTCCGCCACCTCCGCCCTCCTACATCTCCTCCTCCTCCTCCTCCTCCTCCTCCTCCTCCTCGTCCCTTCTCCCTCCACCTCCTCCACTTGCCCTTCTCCCTCCACCTCCTCCACTTGCTCCTCCCCCTTCACCTCCTCCTCCTCCTCCTCCTCCTCTTCCCCTCGCCCGCCTCCACCTCCGCCCCTCGCGCCGATGGCGATCGGGCGATCTGCCACCGAGCAGCGGCCGCAGCCCGCTCCTACTGTCTCTGGCTGAGCGTGCTGGCGCGCTGAGTGTCAATGACCCCCAGCGCAAGAGGGGGCCCACGACCTCCCAGCGGGCGCGTCCGCCCACCGCCTCCAGCAGCCCGCCAGGCCCCCAGCGCCGCGAGGTCGCTGGAGGTCCGGGCGCGATGCCACCGAGCACGCCTGCTGCAGCGCTCGGCGGACGAACGGGCCCTGCCGGCTGCCCCGCTGCACCGCGGCCTGCGCCCTGGCCCCTGCGGCCGCCGCGCGCTGCGCCTCGCCCTCCGCCCTGCGCCTCCACGCGCCCAGGCTTGGGCCTCCTCGCGGTGCCCTCCATCATTGAAGGGGCCCTGGGACACACAAATAAGTACACACAAATAAAAAGATTCTCCATATGTTCCTATATCTTCTGAGCTTTTGTCTTCCCCCCCACTTCCCATATTTTCCCATCTTTTCCTGGGAGTGGACGGTTAATTGTGTCTGTGTGTTTTTTTCCCCTCCTCAATCTTGCGGGTTGGGGTGCACCTCCGCATCTCCGTCTCGCAGTGGCTGAACATGATCGTGCCTCCAGCAGCAAGTCCGTCCCTCTCGTGCCTCGGTGCGCGTGTCGCGGACCATTGCCTGGGCAGGCTGCGCGACGAGCTGGGCCAGGGAGGTCTCCTGGAGCTGCTGCAGCCACGCGTGATGTCGTCGCCTGGCTCTGCGCCTGGAACGGAATGCTCGGCGACAGATGTCGATCGCCATGTCCAGCGAATCCCTTGCAGCGTTCTTGTGTCCCGCCATCTCTGCCGCGTCCATGACAAGTGGTCTCAAGGTGGACTCCCAAGTAGTTGGCGACGAATGGCACCCACACCTGTTGCAAGTTGGTTGCGTCAGTGCCTTCGTTCAGTGTGCCGGGGTTCTCCATCAAATAGCTGGTGTACTCGCTGAACCTGCCCTCGAGGGTCCACTTCATCTGCATGGCCTGCTGCCACACGGGATGTTAGTCCTTGTCCATCGGGATGTAGTTGGCCTCCTTCTCCTTCAGGTTGCTCTTGCCATCTGTTAACAATCCCTTGTGGCCCCATGCGTTCTGCGTCTTCGCCAACGGCTGCAGCTCGCTGTCGCGCCCGCTTGGTGTACTTGATGGTGTCCTTGCCCTCCGCGTGCTCCGTCTCGACGCTAGGTATGGGGGGGGCCTCACGTCATCTCACGTCTGCGCCCTTGGCCTGCTCTAGCATCGACTCAATGGAATCGTCCATAACGGCGTTCTCTAATGGTTGGTTAAGTTAGGCTGCAGACTGCCAGTCCCATCCTGCGGAAGAAAGGCTGTGCATGCACTCCTCCTGGTGCTTTCCAGTGGGGCTCGGGCCTCAGCTGGCCACCAGTCCCCAATGCAGGGTGTCTGGGGTCTGCGTTCTCTTGTCCTCCACAATTCCCTGGAGCCAGACAGAAAGACACGGGACATGAAAAACGAGGATAGAGAAGACTGGCAGAGATAAGGGAATGAGGAGGAGCCATCTTCCTCCCCAGCTTCCTTATCTTCCTCCTCTACCTCTCTTCCCCTTCCTCTTCCGCCTCCTTCACTCCCTCGCCGCCGCAACCTCCTTCTCCTCTGCCTCAACCTCCACACCGCATCTCGTTCTCCTCCTCCTCCTCCTCATCATCATCATGTTCATGCTTCCCCCTCCTCTGCTCCCGCTCGTCCTCGCCCCCTCTTCTCGTCATCCTCCGAGTCCGCCTCCTCCGGGAGGAGGGCGCTTCTTCTCCAGTCCCCATTGCCTCCTGCTCGGCCTCCCTCTCTTCGAAGCTGGCCTGGGCGATCTCGGCCTCCACCTCGGGCGGGTTCGGGGTGAAACTCCTTCTGCCACTCCTTCCTCTCTTCCTCCGTCCCTCTCCGCTCCTCACCCTTTGACTTCGCCACATCCCCCCTCCACACACACGCAGCTCCTGCTCCCCAGCACTGAGCACTGCGAGCAGCGGTGTCTCCACGGACGGTTTCTCCTCCTCCTCCTCCTCCTCGTCCTCTCCATCTCGACCTCCTCACCACAAGTTTATCCTCGTCCTCCGCCTTTCCTCCCCCTCAGCAACCTACAGTCCGTCTACCTTTCTGACTCGCCATCAGGTTCAACACCTCTTCCTCCTCAGGTCGAATAGAAAACAAGTCCCTGTCGCGTTTCCAGGCGGATCTTTACACTAGATAGGGCGGTTTGGCTGATTCAACCTTTCAGCAATTACACGGATGGAGGCGAATCATTTTCCAATTGAGCTTCCGCCTTGTCACCGCACGCATTCTTCTCAAACCCTTCGGGAGAACGCGTTTCGAGTGGGAGACATCCCGCGACAAGTCCCCATCCAACAAAAAACAGCCGGCGCCCAGGGAAAGCCAGGGGGGCTCCCTCTGCCCCCCTCACCCCCCTTTCCTAATCCTTCCCCCTTTGGCCGTTGGCCAACGAAAACGGCAGGCGCCGGCAAACGACGACTGGCGACGAACGACTAACGAAGAACGACGTTGACCGCTCCGACGCCGACGACTACGATCATCTCCATCACCATGACACATCATCACCGTCAGCGTCATCGTTAGCATCATCATCGTCATCATCATCATCATCACTGTCATCACACTCATCGACATCCTCATCATCATCATCATCATCATCAGCATCATTAGCATCATCAACATCATCGTCATCGTCATCGTCATCACCATCATGAGCACCAGCGCCTTGACCGTAGTCACCAGCACCATCGAATCAGCATCACCATCATCAGGTTCAGCATCATCATCGGCATCTTTATCCTTAGCATCATCATCGTCATTCCCATCAAAACCATCGCCATCGTCATCAATACCATCATCAAGACAATCACCATCAGTATCGTCATCGTCTTCATCATTAGCATCGTCATCATGCTCGTCAACATGCTCCTCCTCCTCCTCCTCATCATCACCGTCATCATCATCAGCATCTCAATAACGATCGACATCGTGATCATCATCATCATCACCATCACCATCAGCAGCATGATCACCAAAACCTTCACCATCACCATCACAATCACCACCACCATCATCATCATTATCATCATCATCGTGGTGTTCATCATCATCATCATCAAAAAAACCGTTTCCGTAGTCTTCATCGTTATCGTAACCGCCATCATCAAGAGAATGACCAGCATCACCATCCTCATCATCGACTTCACCATCTTCATCGCCATCGTCATCATTATCATCATGATCACCATCATTATCATCGACAGCATTATCATCATGGTGGTCATCGTCAGAAACACCGTCTCCATATTCTTCATCGTCATCGTATACGTCATTATGGAGAGAATCATCAGCAAATCATCATAATCATCGCCTTCACCGTCGTCATCGTCATTATCTTCATAATCAGTATGATCAGCATCATCGATATCACACTCACCATCATCATCTCGATGAGTATCACCGACACCATCACCACAAGATAAATCGTCATCCTCATCATCGCAATCACCCTCATCATCACCATGACCATCGTCATCGTCATCATCCACATCTCTACCGTCGTCATCATACTCCCCTTCGACAGCGTCATTATCCTCATCAGCAACATCCTCCTCGTCATCATCATTGACACCAACAACATCACCAATTCATCAAGAGGACACCAATATCATCAGCGTCATCATCACCATCATCATAATAACCACCAGCATCATCATCACCATCATCATGCGTGACGTCATCATCATCATCGTCGTGGTCATCATCATCATCATCATCATCATCATCATCATCATCATCATCATCATCATCATCACCATGATCCTCATCGCAAACGGCATCGTCATCTCCATCATCGTCACCACCATCACCTTCCTTCATCATCACCTTCATGATCGCAATCATCATCATCAACATCATCATCATCATCATCACAATTCTCATCGTCATCGCCACCGTCATCACTAACACCATCACGATCAAAATGGTCATACTCGTCACCCCATCATCACCATCATCGTCACCATCTCGATTGCTATCATCGTCGACGTCGGAAGCATCGCCATCATCATCATCATCATCATCATCATCATCATCATCATCATCATCATCATCATCATGAGCATCCTCGTCATCATGATTACCGCCAGCACGACCACCACCACTATCACCATCACAATCACGATCACAATCATCATCAACATCCTTACCACTACCACCACACCACCATCAGCTTCATCATCGTCGTCACCATCATCATCATCATCATCATCATCATCATCAGCATCATCATCATCATCATCATCATCATCATCATCATCATCATCATCATCATCATCATCATCATCATCATCATCAATTCTTGTCATTATCGGTGGCGTCGTCGTCGTCCATCGTCGTCATCCCTGTCTTTCGTAGTCGTTGTCGTCGTCCTCGTCCTCGTCTTTGCCGCAGCCGCCGCTTGTCGTCGCCGTTGTCGTCGCCGGCGCCGCCGGCGCCGCCGGCGCCGCCGTTGTCGTCGTCGTCGTCGTCGTCGTCGACAGCGCAAGCGCCGGAGCCGGCCGTCGTCGTTTGCCACTGGCGAGCACGGGGGGGGGGGGGGTGGGGGTTGGAAGGGATTGGGAGTGGGAAGTGGGGCTAGGAATGGTTGAAATCCGTTCCAACGCGGTTGCATTCCGTCCCATTTTCGATTCAAACCGCCCCCCCTTGCCTCTAGGGCCCCAGGGGGGGGCGGCGAGGCTGGGTTCCCCTTGCAATTTTGGGGGGGCTGGACCCCCCCGGTTCAAACACCCCCCCCCTCCTTGCAATCCCCCCGCTCGACCCCCCCAACGCCCCCAACGTCCACAGAACTCTCGAAGCTCCCGACCGCTGTACGGATGGAGGGGAACTCCTTTGGAGCGTGGGCCTATTGCCTGGCCCTCCCCTGAGAGCTGACCAGCAGCTCGTTGAAAACGGCGCATCGGATGCACGACGCGCGCGGGCGGGCCCTGCTCCGGCTCCTCCTACTCCTGCTCCACTCTTCCCCCCATCCTGCGTCTCGGCCTCCCCCATTCCTGCTCTCTCTCTCTCTCTCTCCTCCCGCTCATGCCCTCCTCCTCGCCTTCCTCGTCCTCTGGCATCCTCCTGCCCCCTCCGACATCCCCCTCGTCGTCCTCGTCCCCAGATCTCAGACGTCGTATTGTTTGACAGCATGGGTCCCCACAGGACTAGATCGACCCCTCCCTGGACTGCTGTTTCTCTGGAGGTAGGCAGTGGGTGTGGCATAAAAGGGTGTGGTGCCAATGTTGAATCTGGCAATGCCATCAATGGTAGATAACATCTCGATGTCCACGATCGGCACCGCACCCTTTTATGCCACACCCGTTGTCCGACCTCCAAGTTTCTTCTCGCGCCTTGTTCTCTGGCAGTCCCGGGGCCCGGCGATGGCCCCACAAACTGAGAATGGCCGACGCAGTCAACCCGTATGAGGACGCGCGGCGCAGTGGAGGCCAATCCACACTAAACCGTCCACGAGAAACCCAACCCTGAGACCCCAGGATGTCCAGTGATTTTTGATGTGGGAACGTCGCGCTCAATCGCAAAACCATCGAAATCCACGGCACCCTGGAGGCAAGCAGGGTGTTTCTCGGCAGGGGCCTCAACAATAACGGATGGTAGGGCCTTGGAGGGCCCAGCCAACTCTCTGCGAGCGGGGCGCGGCCAGCGAGAGCGGCCAGGGATGGGCCGCAGGGGAAGGACGCAAGGGGAAGCTCGGGCAGTCGATCGTCTTTACGACGCAGGTTGACTGTGCAGCACCCCGTCTCGATTGTTTCACAACGAAACGAGGTGGGAGCAAGCCTCCCCCACCCTCCTCGTCCTCCTCCTCCTCCTCCTCCTCCTCCTCCTCCTCCTCGCACGTGAGTCTACATTTGCAGGGTGGCCGCCGAACCGATCCGCCCCGGCCGAACCGAACTGGGCCGAACCGGCGCGATCCTGTGTGATTTTCAACGCGAACCGAACCGAACCGAACCGGCCGTTTTTGACATTCGAACCGAAACGAACCGGACCGAACAAGCTTCTTCTGACTCCGAACCGGGCCGAGCCCTCCCCCCCGAACCGGACCGAACCACCGGAGCGAACTGGAGCGAACCGAAGCACGGAAGCTGCCGGAGCGAATCGGAAACCGAGAGCAGAAGCCGACCGAAACCGGAGACTGCATCACGTCGGCGACGAGCGCCGTGGGAACGACGGCCCCACTGGGGCCCCCCCCCCGGGCCCCCCCCCAGCGGCCCCCCCAGCGGCCCCCCAGCGGCCCCCCCCGGGCGCCCTCCCCCGGGGCCCCCCCGGGCCTCCCCCCCCCCCCCGGTGCACTCGCAAACGCAACGAAAAACGCCACGGGGGGTCCGCCCGACGACGACGACGGCGACCGACAGCGGCGAGGCACCGACGGCGCAAGGAAGCCGTCGGGGCACGCCCCGCTCCCAAGGATCTGATCGTCGTCGTCGCCGCCACCGCTGCCGTCGTCGTCGCCTTTTCCTCTTCCGTGCTCAGTCGGATCGGAACCGGAATCGGCATCCGCCCGCCGGGTCGGAATCGACACTGGAAAAAGCCAGAAGGATCGGACCAGACGCATCGAAATCGGATCGGATCGGGCCCGGGCCTGCCCCGAACCAGGCCGCCACGACGAACCGCGCTGTCGCCGAGCTCGCCACATCCGAACCGGACCGAACCGGAAACATATGCACAGCGAACGGGGCCGAACGGAGCGGCACAGTTCACAGCGACGAACCGAACCGAACCGAACTGCAAGGGGTCCGACACCGAACCGAACCGGACCGGAGGCACTTCGGAACCTAACCCCTAACCGAACCGAACCGAACTGGGCATCCCTGCATCTGTCAGTAATTAGGCCTTCCACACCTCTGCCTGGAGCTGAGCTCGGGCCGCATGAAACGACATCGGAAGCGGGACCCCGCCGCGACAGACACGTAGAAGAGGGGATGATCATTGTCTACGCTGCAATCACTCGCCGTTCCTCTGCCTGCACCTCCTCGGTTGGGAGGGCCCCAACTTCTTCCATGGAGCACAATCCCATCATGTGTTATCACGCCTCAGCCAGCACAGCGAAAGGATTGGGACCTCGAACTGCCACCAATCAGTGCCTCCCCACACACACCCACGCCCACACACTTTTTGCCTCGGCGGCCAGGCAGAGTGACTGCGCCAGCCGAAGGGCGAACGTTGGACGACCAATGGCGAATGAGGCCGCGGTGCACGAGGGGAGGAGGGGAGGCGCCCTGCGACGGCGGAGAGGAGGATGAAGCCGAGCCCGCTCACAGCGGGGCACACGCACGCACGCACGCACGCACGCACGCACCCACGCACGCAACGGTGCTAAGCAAGCCTGATGCCCGCGGCTCCCCTCGAAGGGGCGCCGACGAGGATGGGGAAGGCCCTCCAGCGAGGCGCCGCAGCGGCCGCGGCTCCAGCAGCGGCGGGCCCCAAGACGCGGCCGCCAAGATGAAGCTCGAGGCACCCGCTCCAGCGGGCGGAGGCGGCCCCCCCTCTCCAGGGTTGGAGGGGGCGGAGGAGGAGGAGGAGGAGGAGGAGGAGGAGGAGGAGGAGGAGGAGGAGGAGGAGGAGGAGGAGGAGGAGGGGGCCAGGGGGCCTGAGCTGGAGAAGACCAGGGAGGAGATGTCGAGTCCGCCCCAAAGAGGGCCCCCCGAGACTGCCAGCAGGCACCCGAGAGACGCCCCAGGAAGCGCGGAGAGGCCCCCCGAGATGCCTTCACAGAGGTCTCCAGAGAGTCCCCGAGAGGCCCCCAGAAGGCCTCACCTCACCCGTGGACTTCGTCTTCTCTGGGGGTGGGCGGAATGGCGTAAGCCTCTTGCAGATGTCCCGACGGGGGGGAAGCGCAAATCCATTCAAAATCGGTCCCGCGTCCATCGGGTGCAACTTTTAACCCCGGGTCCGATCTAAACGGTCCCGGGTCCCGAACACGACGTTTGGAGGCCGAAGAAGTCAAACAACAAGACAGACAGAAAAACAACACGCAAGCATGCTCGAACCCAGAACCTCGTTCTTCGCCCCGCCTTCCTCCTCGCCTGAACCATTGCTGGGCCACCTCGGACCCCTAGCTAGCTCCATCTCCATGCTTACGTCTGTTCGGGAGCACGCGTGGTCTCCCCTGATCAACGGCCCTCCTCCGCCCGCCCCTCTCCTCCTCCTCCTCTTCCTCCTCCTCCTCCTCCTCCTCCTCCTCCTCCTCCCCCTCCTCCTCCTCCTTCTCCTACTCCTCCCCCTCCTGCCTCCTCCCTCCTCCTCCTCCCCCTCCTCCTCCGCCCTCCTCTTGAGCCATGTCGGCACGAGCAAGGGTACCCCGCGGGCGCGGCGGGGCACTCTCGCGTCTCCGCCCGCATATGCTTCGAAGCGGCGCCGCTGGCGCGAGCCATCGGCACGGCACGGCACGGGCCACGGCCCTCGGACGCCCTGGCCAGGGCACCGCGGCGCCAGCGCTTGGAGCACCTGAGCGCCGTGGCGCAGTCGGCCGTGGCGGCGGGGCTCCGCGCGGGCCTTCGGGCGGCGCGCGGGACGCGGTTGCCGGCGACGACGGGCGCGCCGCGGACAGGGCCCGGCGTCGGTCGCGGCCGAGCCGACGTCGCCGCCCCCCGGGGAGGGGCGGGCGTCGGCAAGCCGCGCGAGGGCCGGCAGTTTTCGCGGCCGAGGCTCGCCCCAGGCCGAGGCCCTCCCAGGCGCTGCTCCCGGCGCCGGAGGGCGGCGCGCCCGAGCCGACGCCACCGCCCCCTCTGGGGAGCGGCGGGCGGCGGCGAGCCGCGCGAGGGGCCAGCGGGTCCTCGACGCAGGCGAGGGGGCGAGGGCGCGGCTCACGACGCCATGTTCTTTTCCTCGCCTGCGCCTCCTCCTCCTCCTCCTCCTCCTCTTCTCCCTCCTCCTCCTCCTCCTCCTCCTCTTCTCCTCCTCCTCCTCCTCCTCCTCCTCTTCTCTCTCTCCTCCCTCCTCCTCCTCCTCCTCCTCCTCCTCCTCCTCCTCCTCCTCCTCCTCCGTCGCCCGAGGAGGCTGCTGTCGAGGCGCAGGCGAGCCTCGCGCGGGAGGCGGCGACCGCAGCGGGCGGCAAGAAGGCGGAGCGCTGGGCGCGCCGGTTGGCGCAGGATGCCGTGGCCACGCCTTCAGGGCGGGCCCCTGCCCGGGGCCCAGGGCGATCGTAAGGAGAAGAGGAAGAAGAAATGTACTACGAATTATAATAGTAGTAATAATAAAAAATAAGTAAGAATAATGATGCTAAACATAATGATAATCATAATAATAAGAAGAAGAATACTAATAAGAATAATAATAATAATAATAATAATAATAATAATAATAATAATAATCACAAGGATAATAAGCCCCAGGAGGAGGAGGCCAAAGGGAAGGAGCCCGAACGGGAGGTCCTCTCGCCGTCCATCCAGCGCGGTCGGTGGGGCCGGGACGGGTGTGGCCGCAAGAAGGTCAAGCGGAACACGCACGGGAGGGAGCGGAGCCGCAGCAAGGCTCGCATGGCCTGATCCGTGAGGTTCGTGGTGCCATGACGGCGGGGCAGTTCGAGTGCTCGAGCGACTCGGAGGAGGACCACAGTAGTGCTTCCCCCGACGAGCTGGCAGGCTGGCACGCAGAGGGGCAGAAGCAATTTGGTGAAGTGCTGCTGGAGGCCTTCGGCAGCGGGCTGAAGGGCCGTGTGCCGAACCCCGCGGAGGTTGAAGGAGACGCTGGTGGCGCCAGTCCGTACAAGGCGACGGAGCCGTGTGCGCAGTTCCCGTCCCGCGCGGGCGACACCCAGACAGATCCTGTGAGAAGGACTGTGTGCAATGGGGCGGGGGTGCCGTTCGAGGCGGCGGCGGAGATCGAGAAGTGCCGTGAGGTGGAGTGCTGCAGGCCGGGCGGGGTGTGCGAGGCCTCCAGCACCGCGGAGGAGCGGCACGCGCGACGGCGATGACTGGCTGGTGAGGCGGTGCGAGGCCTCAGCTGCTGGCCCAAGCGAGGAGCGAGACGACTTCGGAGTGCTTCAGGTGTGCACCTTCGGGGTGGGGCGGGTTCTGAGGGTCCTGCTCAGCCCAGCTGTCAGCTCGGCAGGCGGGCACCACGAGGTGGAGCACACAATTCAGGTGGCGGACGGGGAGTTCGCTGGTCGACGGCTCCGCCGTCGGCAGCACCACGGACGAGCTGGAGTCCAACGGTGAGCGGCTGCGGAGGGAGCCTCTCCTGTACGGCCAGCGAGGACGGGCCCGTGGTCGTGGACCCCGTCTCCGGGGCCGGAGCCGGTGGCTCGGGCTCGTGCGACAAGAACGGGGAGCGCATGTCCGCGGGGGTGGACACCGACCCTGGGGCCGGAGCTGGTGGCGCTGGCTCGGCAGTGGAGGTTGCTGGTGGCGGTGTGGTATCAAAGCATGCTGGCAGAAGGGGCACGGCCATGCTGCTGGTGACGGCGAGGCGAGGGTCCAGACGTGCCAGCGCAGGAAGGAATGCTCCAAGAACCTCCTAGCGAGGAAGTTCGCGGAAGCGGTGAAGGCCGCCGAGCTGGTCCAGGAGCTGCTGGAGGAGGGGGTCCTCCGCCAGGAGCGGGCGACGTGCATGAAGGCAGCGCCGGGCCTCGGGGAGGTTGCGGCGCCGACTGGCCAGTTGCTGATCGGCAATGCAATTGTTGCAGCGGGATGCTGCGAGCGCAGGTGCCTTGCTTTATAGCGGGATGCCTAACTATGCCTTGCTATAACTGTCGCGGGATGCCTAACCGTGCCTTGCTATGCCTAACTATGCCTTACAGCGGGATGCCAAACTATGCCTTGCTTTACAGCGGGGTGCCTTGCTTTACAGCGGGATGCCTAACTATGCCTTACAGCGCGAGCGCGGGAGGCTGCCTAACTATGCCTTGCTTTGCCGCGGGATGCTGCGAGCGCAGGTGCCTTTCCAAGTCGGGAGAGCGCCTGCGCGGGTCGTGGTGCGGCCACCGCGCGGGCCCCCGCCGACGGCGCCGCCGAAGTGCGGTGCCGTCTCGCCTTAGCGCGAGGGAGCACGCTCCATTTCCTGTAGAGCCTATACAGCCTCTGCTCTTCCCCCCTCCTCCTGCTCCTCCTCCTCCTCCTCCTTCTCCTCCTCCTCCTCCTCATCCTCACCCCTCTCCTCTGCCCTCTCCCTCTCCTACTCCTTTTCCTCTTCATCGTCCACCTCCTCCTCCCCCTCCTCCTACTTTCCCTCTTCCTCGTCTCTCTCCCTTCCCCCCCGCCCCTTCTCCGTGGATGTGGCGGGGCGCCCCTCGAGCCCCCCCCCCCCCCCCGGAGCCTCCGCAACGGCGTAGCGGTGGTCCCCGCTGCGCGCCTGCAGGTCGGCGAGCGGTTCCGCGGGGTAGCCCGGCCGCGCGAGCGCCATGGCGCCCTCGAGGGGGAGGAGCCCTCTTCTTGCTCCTGGTCCTCCTCCTCCTTCTCCTCCTTCTTCTCCTCCCCACCCTCCTCCACTTCGTCCTGGTCCTCTTCCTCGTTTCTTCGTCCTCCTCCTCCTCCTCCTCCCCTCCTCCTCCTCCTCCTCCTCCTCCTCCTCCGCCCTCCTCTTGAGCCATCTCGGCACGAGCAAGGGTACCCCGCGGGCGCGGCGGGGCTCTCGCGTCTCCGCCCGCATGCTTCGTCCTCCTCCTCCTCTCTCTCCTCGTCCTCGTCTCCTCGTCCTCCTCTCCCCTCCTCCTCCTCCTCCTCTCGTCTCCTCCTCCTCCTCCTCCTTCTTCTCCTCCTCCCCCTCCCTCCTCCTCATCTCTCTGCCCTCTCCCTCTCCTCCTCCTCCTCCTCTCCTTCTCCTCTCCTCCTCCTCCTCCTCTTCCTCCTCACTCTCCTCCACCTCGTCCTTTTCTCGTCCTCGTCCTCGTCCTCGTCCTCCCCCTCCTCATCCTCCTCCTCATTCTTCTCATCCTCAGCCTCATCCTCGTCCTCATCCTCATCCTCATCCTCATCCTCACCTTCACCCTCACCCTCTCCCTCACCCTCACCCTCACCCTCACCTTCACCCTCACCCTCATCCTCATCCTCATCCTCATCCTCATCCTCATCTTTATCCACATCCTCATCCTCATCCTCATCCTCATCCTCATCCGCATCAGCATCAGCATCAGCATCAGCATCAGCAGCCGCATCATCATCATCATCATCATCATCATCATCATCATCATCATCATCATCATCATCATCATCATCATCATCATCATCATCATCATCATCATCATCATCATCATCATCATCATCATCATCAGCATCATCATCATCATCATCATCATCATCATCATCATCATCATCATCAGCATCAGCATCAGCATCATCATCATCATCATCATCCTCATCATCAGTATCAGTATCAGTATCAGTATCATCATCATCAACATCAACAGCATCATCATCATCATCATCATCATCATCATCATCATCATCAGCATCATCATCATCACCATCACCATCATCAGCATCATCATTGTTATCGTCATCATCATCACCGAGAAACCCCTGTTTCGGAATGGGCGTTTGGCCCGCTGTATCTCGAAGGCGTGCCAGTGGCCAAGGTGCTGCCGGGATGGAGCGCCCCCACGAGAATGCTGTAGCACCCTGTACAGCAGAGCAGCCGCCTGTTGTGTAAGAGTGCCCCGTCGTTTGGGCCCCTTTCACGAAAGGCCCTACACGTAGACAAGGGAATAGCCCAAGGAAATAGTCCTCCTCCTCCTCTTCCTCCTCCTCCTCCTCCTCCTCCTCCTCCACCTCATCATCATCATCATCATCATCATCATCGTCATCATCATCGTCGGCCTCGTCCTCGTCCTCGGCCTCGTCCTCGTCCTCCTCCTCCTCCTCCTCCTCCTCCTCCGTTGCTCCTTCTCCTCCTCGTCCTCCTCCTCCCCCTCCCTCCTCCTCCTCCATCTCCGCTTCCCTCTCACACTCCTCGCCCTCCTCCTCCTCTTCCTCCTCCTCCTCCTCCTCATCCTCATCCTCACCCTCATCCTCATCCTCATCCTCCTTCTCCTCCTCCTCCTCCTCCTCCTCATTACCATCAGCATCATCATCGTCATCATCACCATCATCACAACCATCATCTCTTCATCATCATCACCATCACCATCATCATCATCATCATCATCATCATCATCATCATCATCATCATCATCATCATCATCATCATCATCATCATCATCATCATCATCATCATCATCATCATCATCATCATCATCATCATCATCATCATCATCATCATCATCATCATCATCATCATCATCAGCATCATCATCATGCATCATCAGCATCAGCATCATCATCAGCATCAGCATCAGCATCAGCATCAGCATCAGCATCAGCATCATCATCATCATCATCATCATCATCAGCATCAGCATCAGCATCAGCATCATCATCATCATCATCATCATCATCATCATCCATCATCATCATCATCATCATCATCATCATCATCATCATCATCATCATCATCATCATCATCATCCTCTTCCTCCTCCTCCTCCTGCTCCTCCTCCGTGTCCCCTCCTTGTCTCGTTCCTTCCTCTTTCTCGAGAGCGGGAGATTGTGGAACCCCTCGCCTTTTCGGAGGGTGTTTTCGTAAGGCGCTTCATTGTGAAATCGTGCGGTCTGTTGCGCCCCCATTCCTCCCCCTGTTCCCTTTCCAACTCTTCTGTTTCCCCCACGCACATGTGACAACACAACTAGATTGTTGTTCAATGCTTCTTTTCTTCGGGGGGAGGACGGGGGCGGAGGAGAGGGGAGGAGGAAGGGGACGAGGAGGAGGAGGGCTGAGGTGGAGGAGGCGGAAACTGGCAGGGCAATGGTGTTCTCTCCCCCATTACAGAAAAGAGACTGAACATCAAAGGGGGAAGACGAGGACGGGGAGGACGTCGTGTGACTTGTGCCAGAAGCGGAGGGAGGAAGAGGAGGAGGAGGAGGAAGAGGAGGAGGAGGAGGAGGAGGAGGAGGTGGAGGAGGAGGAGGAGGAGGGGGAGGAAGAGGGTGCGGCAACCGCCGCCGACGAGGGAAGGAGGAGGAAGAGGGTGCGGCAGCCGCCGCCGACGCACGGCCGGGGCGGACGCCGCGGCCGCCGCGGCGCCTGCGGCCGCAGCCGCGCGCGGCGCCTGCCGCAGGGAAGATCGTGGGTTTGGTGGTCCCCAAACGTGGTGGTGACAACACCTGGCGGTGAGTCTCGGGCGATTTGGTGTCACCACCCGGTTTGGGGACTCATGCGGTGTTCCGAGGATGTCCCGGACACTGGTGGGTCCAGGAGTCACAGAACCCGGTGGTGACCCCGCGTCCCCAAACCCAGCGGTGACCTTTTTGGGGATTCCAGGTCGCCACCTGGTATCTCACCACCCGGTTTGGGGGTTCCCAAGGGGGTGCACGCCAGCACAGAGCTGGGCCGGGCATAGGTCGGGCATGTCCCCCTACAGGCGGAGCTTGGACGACACATCAAACTACTCAACACAAACATGCAAAACGAGGCGAACAAAAAAAAGGAGAATCGTCCCCATACTATGTTTTGACTATTTCTGAACATTCCTCCTGTAGCGCGACATGCCCGACTTATTGATCAGGGACCGACCGTTCGGGCATTCCTAGACGCTTAGCACAACATGTTCTTAGAATCCAAACATGTTCTAAGAACAAAGGCAATTATCTCAGAACATTAACGCGATGCGTCACAACAGGACCGTCTCCGCCAGACCTGTTCTAAGAACATTTCGCGCAGACCACACAAGGTTCTGCGAAGATTTGCCGATGGGCCTGCAGGAATGTCGGCGGTGGACAGACCTCCCTTTAGCACACCTTCCCTTAGTGGAAACGGCCTGGGACCGAAGCCGACGGACCTGGACCCGCAAACATGACGTCCGCGACGCCCTCTCGCGAACCGAAAGCGGCCAATTCGCTAAACGACGTACCTCCGAACACAAGGCTCTTAGAAGATTTGTTGGTGGGCCTGCAGGAATGGCGAGGCACCTCGCCACGGCTCGGACTTCAGGACTGGCTTGTGGATGCCATGGCAATGGACACCCTCACAATCCGACCATTGAATAAAACACGTCTGTAAACCATGTTCTGAACATGCTCCAAACATGTTTTTACGTGGTTAGCACATGTTTGAAACATGTTTTCTACGCCTGGCAACTATTTGGCAGCATGCTTCCTTTCCATTCTGAAGGGGAACTGGGACACACACACACACACACGCACACACACACACACGCACACACACACACACATAAAGCGTTTCCTCTTCCGCCCCTCCTTGTTCCCCTTCGGGGAAGGGCTTCCCCCTTCCCCATACCCCCTCCCCGTGGACCTGGACAAAGGGGTTTCGCGAGGTGTCGGAGCGGCCAAAACGGCCTCGGCGAGGAAGCCAACATCATTGGTTTTACTAGGGTTTGGGCCCCATTTTGGCAACCTGAGGGGATGGGGGCCTACTTAAACACCCCCCCTCCTGTGATCGATCTCACCCAAGATGGCCCAAAGATGGCCCCCAAGGCTTCCAAGGGTGCCCCAAGAGGGCTCCAAGAAGTGGCCAGGAGGCCCCGAGAGGCCCCCAGGAGGCCCCCAGGATGCCCCCAAGCGGCTCGCAAGGAACCTCCAAGAGACCTCCAAGAGGTCCCAAGAGGCTCCCCAGAGGCACCCAAGACGTTCCAAGAGGCCTCGGCGACAATGCCAAAATCGTTGATTTTACTGAGGTGTTGGCCACATTTTGGCCTCCTGGGGGGGGGGGGGGGGCACTGCTTCAGATGACTCCAAGAGCGCCTGGGAGAGCCAAAGATGATCTCCAAGATGGCTCAAGATATCCCAAGATGCCTCAAGATGGCGCCCACGATGCTCCAAGAGGCCTCAAGACTGCTCCAACACGGCTTTAAGTGGCCAAAGAGCTTCCCCAGGAGGCCCCAAAGAGGCTAACATCCTTCCAAAACCTTTGGAAAATCCATGTTTCTGGCTTTCTCGCCGAGGCCTCAAGATGGCTTCAAGATGGCCCAACAGGGCTCCAAGAGCGCTCCCAAGGCTCCCAAGAGCGCTTCAAGAGGGCCCCAAGAGGCGTCCAGGAGGCCCCAGGAGGCCCCAACAGGCGCCCAAGAGGCCTCCAAGAGGCTCCCAAGAGACCCCCAAGAGGCCCCAAGAAGCTCTCTCAGGCACCCAAGACGCTCTAAGAGGGGTCCGGGACAGCCAAGAGGCCCCCAAGACGCTCCAAGAAGCCTCCACTGGGGGACCCTTCCTCTGTGTGCTACCCGCTTCCCTGATAAAGACAATTCCTTTGGGCATCGTTTCTGGATGGGCTGATGGGGATTCGCGAAGCGTCAACAATTAAACATGTGTTTCGAAGGTGTAAGCCATGTTCTAAAAACGTTTCGAACACGTCTGAAAATATTAAAACAATGTTTGAAACGTCTTTTAGACATCTGGCAACGATTTGGCAGCCTGCCTCCTCTCCACTAAGTGACTTCCACAACGCTGGCCCTGCGCCTGGGCTTGGCCTGCAGGGCTGTCGCTGGGTGCAGCGGGGCCCCCCCCGAACCCACCCCCGACGTCGCGATGCTTTTTGTCCTGACGTGGCCCGCTGGGATCCGAAGCCAGGCGAAGGCCGGCAAGCCCGTGGCTGCCAAAACGGAAATTCGGGAAACTGTTTTGTTTTTTTTTCCAGGAAGCATCCCGCGCACTATTTCGCGCGCCGAATTTTCTCCTGGGAATCCGTGTTTCTCTTCCGGGAAGAGCGTTTTAGCAACCACGGATTTGCCACTGCCAACCCTCGCCCAGCTTCCGACAGGAGCCCGGACCCCTTCCCGGAACCAGCTCTGCATCCCGAACCGTTCTTTGACAGTCCCTAATTCGGCCCCCCGGAGGCCGAACATCGCGACACACCTCCCTTCGTGATTTCTTCACATCGCGAGCAGGTCTGGGAACACTCCCATAGACACAAACTTTGGGCGCTCCGCGTTGATTTCGTGGATCGGCGCTGGACCCCCTTCCCTGGCGCGCGGAACTCGCCAGGGGCGGCGCCGGAGGCGCCGCCAGGGGGGGGGGCCCAGTGCGGATACAAGAGATCCGCGTGGAGCGCCAACACTTCATGTTTCTGCCATTTCTTCCCGTTCGACTCCTCCTCCTCATTTCCCTCCCTCGCCCGCCGCCGAGTTGCTGGCGTCTGTTGCGCCAGGCCGCGCGGAGCGCCGAAAGTAAATAAGTATAACGTTTTTTCTTCTTCGAACTCCTCCCAAGCCTCGGCAGGGCAGGGGGAGGCGAAGGAGGAGGAGGAGGAGGAGGAGGAGGAGGAGGAGGAGGAGGCGGAGGGGGAGGCGGAGGCGGTGGCGGAGGAGGAGGAGGAGGAAGAGGAGGAGGAGGAGGAGGAGGAGGAAAGAGGAGGAGGCGGAGGAGGAGGAGGATGAGGAGGAGGAGGAGGAAGAGGAGGAGGAGGGGGAGGCGGAGGAGGTGGAGGAGGAGGGGGAGGAGGAGGGGGAGGGCGGAGGGAGGGGGAGGCGGAGGAGGAGGAGGAGGAAGAGGAGGAGGGGGGAGGCGGAGGAGGTGGAGGAGGAGTGGAGGAGGATGGGGAGGCGGAGGAGGAGAGGCGGAGGCGGAGGAGGAGGAGGACGAGGACGAGGAGGAGGAGGAGGACGCGACGACGAGCCCCGGCTTCCTCCACCCCCGCCTCGGCAGGAGGCCTGGCGCGCCCCCGCGCAAGGGCGCGGGCGCGACGCGCGCCCCCGGGAGGGGCGGGCGGCAGGGGCGCCTCGAGATCCCCAGGGGGGGGCGGCGGCCAGGAGGGGCGTCGCTGGGCGGACGGCGGGGGTCGCCTCCTCCCTCCTCGCACATCACACCTGCCTCCCTCTTCTCCCTCGTCTCCCTCTTCTCCCTCCTCCTCCTCCTCCTCCTCCTCCTCCTCCTCCTCCTCCCTCCTCGCTCCTCCCTCCTCGCTCCTCCCTCCCTCTTCTCCCTCCCTCCTCTCCCTCTGCTCCCTCTTCTCCCGCCCTCTTCCATCCGTCCTCCCTCTTTCCTCCTCCTGCCTCCTGCCTCTTTCCCCCCTTTTCCCTCCTCTTCCCTCCTCCATCCTCCCTCGTCACTCCTCCCTCCTCATCTTCCCCCTCCTCAATTGGTCGGTCGCTTCACAGGCGTCTGACGAACCACCCGCGCAACGGGTGGTTCGTCCCTCGCGACGACAGACAGCCGTCGCGCGCAAGGGGGAGAGCAGAGAAGCAAGGAAACCAGGAAGGAGGCGGGGGGAGGACTCTTCCCTCCTGCCTTCCTCCAGTCAGGCTGGCCGGTGGCGCGCGCTGTCTGGCCGTCGGGTCGCCTCTGTGCGAGGAGGAGGAGGAAGAAGATGAAGACCTCCTCCTCCTCCTCCTCCTCCTCCTCCTCCCCCATTGTCCCCCTCCTCCCTGCCTGCCTCCCCCTCTCTCCCTCTCCATCCTGACCCCCCGTCCACTCTCCTTCACCCTCCTCACCCTCCCCCGTTCCCTTCTCTGCGAGGGCGAGGAGCACGGGAAGGGCGAGGGTGTCAACTCCTGTTCCTCCTCCTGTTCCTCCTCCTCCGCGCGCTGTGAGATCTCCTCGACGCGGCACTGCCCTTTGCCCCGCCTCGCCAAGACCCAGACACCAGACGTCATATTTGTATGTTTTCATGCAGTCGACCCCCAGAGGTATCGACCCATTCACCGGGACAGTTTCATCCTGAGTTGGTTCTTGACGGTCCCGAAGCCCGGTCAGGGCCCCCAGAGGCTGAAAATAGCGACTCAGTCGGTTCGGATGGGATGTGCTGCGGGGACAGCAAGTGACCACAGTCACATCGAGGACACACCCTGGGGAACGCCTTGTGCACGCCAACGCTCGTCAAGACACCGAAACCAACTTAGTACTGGTTGTGGTCGGTGTGACGTCCCAGGACGGCCAACTCGAACACAAACACCACCAAAATGCCCATGCCGATGCCGGCGGGTTCTCCCCAGAGGGACCCTCCAGAAGAATCTACCCAGTTGCTGTTATTCGGCGGCGAGCCTGGAGGGGAAATGCGAAGGGGAAGGCCTGCTCAAATGGCTCGGAAGGCCTCCGGCCTTCCAAGAAACTGTCTAAGCTTTCCACGACGGCACAGGCAACTTGAAGGAAGGCGCAAGGTCTTCTGAGAAGCCCCGCCGCCTCCTGAGAAGGCCTTGCGATCGTTTTCTGATTTACTGTTTTGCCGATCTGCGCGGGCCCTCGCACCCCCCTCCCCGATCTGATGGAGTAGATCTTGCCTGTTTGGGGGCCTGTTTACAACAGGTGGACGGCTCCCCATGAGCACCGCTCCAAGCAGTCGCCCTCAACGCAGAGGTCCAGAGAGCCAGACCTTCCGATCAGTACCGAGACGCCGAATAAGAAAACGCTGGCCTTTCTCCTTCTCACTTCCCTAGAACAAGAAAAGGAGATGAGGAGGAGAAGGAGGAGGAGGATCGAGGAGGAGGAGGAGGAGGAGGAGGAGGATCGAGGAGGAGGAGGAGGACCACGACGGTAGAAGAAAAAAACTGCATAAACACAAACTTTTGGCGCTCCGCGCGGATGTATTGTATCTGCGCTGGGCCCCCCTCCCTGGCGCGCGGAGCGCGCATCAGGGGCGGCCCACAGAAGCGCCACCAGGGGATTCCAGCGCAGATCCAAGAACTCCGCGCGGAGCGCCACCAAAAGTTCGTGTTTGTGCCATTTGTTCCCATTCGACTTATCCTTCTTACCCCCCCTCCCTCGCTCGCCGCCGAGTGGCCGGCGTCCGTTGCTCCAGGCCGCGCGGAGCGCCAACAGTTGATAAGTATAGCGTTTTTCCTCGTGGAACTCCTCCCCCGCCTCGGCAGGGGGAGGAGGAGGAGGAGGAGGAGGGAGGAGAGGAGGAGGAGGAGAAGAGGAGGAGGAGGAGGAGGAGAGGGAGGCCGAGGTGGGGGAGCAGGAAGGGGAGCAGGAGGAGGAGGAGGAGGAGGAGGAGGAAGAGGAGGAGGAGGAGGAGGAGGCCTCCTCCTCCTCTTCCTCCCCCTCCTCCTCCTACTAATCATCCTTTTGGTCCTCCTCCTCCTCCATGGCGTTGTTCCTCGTCGACTTCTCCTTCTCACCTCCCTCCCTCGCTCGCCGCCGAGTGGCTGGCGTCTGTTGCGCCAGGCTGTGCGCGTTCTGTTTCGGTTCGGCGCCGCGGCGCGGAGTGCCAGGCTTCGGGCGGGGGCGCGCGGCCGCCGCGCGGAGTGGCAGGCCGGGCGGGGCGCGGGAGGGGGGCGGAGCGCAGGAGGGGGGGGAGGAGGAGGAGGGGGTGGAGGGGGAGGAGGGCAAGCTAGGTGCGCTCGCGTCATATCTGACATCCTACCCCTCCCTCCCATCCCTTACCATGGCGTAGATCCCTTTTCTACTCGCACAGTCGGATGTTGAGCAGGGCAATGATCCCGAAAGGGTACGCGATGCATTGTAGAGCACGGCATGGCATGGCGTAGACGAGCACCGCAAAGCGTAGTATGTCACAGCACGGCGTGGCGTGGCGTAGTGAAGAATTGCATCACAAAACTTTGCAACGCAAAGCATGGCATCGCACAGCGGCCCCGAACATAACATTGCATAGCATGGCGTTGAAGATCAAAGCGTAGCATGGCATAGCATGACGTGGCACTTACGCACTGGATATGACAGCTGCAGCTGAAGGCATGGCATCGCGCAGCGGCACGCAACCTCGTATTGCATTGCATGCCGTGGCATGGCACGGGAAATGACGCCAGCGCTGCAGCGGGAGCACGATTTGGAACGACCAGCGGCGCGGAAAATAGGACGAACGCTGCAGCGGGAGCAACATTCTGAAGGACCGGAAAGACTCGGATTTTCAAAAACATAGATGAAAACCAAACTCCCGGGAATCCTGTGCGGAAAAGGACGCCGCCCAAAAGGGGGGGGGCTTTCTGCGGCCCCAAAAATCAACGAATCGACACCGGATGTGTAATCACCTCCAATGTTTTTGCCGGGGATCATTTTCTAGATTTGGGGCTTCTTAAAAAGGATCGAAAACGTCGGCGCTGCAGCGGGAGCACGTTTTGGAACAACGAGAGGCGCAGAAATTGGGCCAGCGCTGCAGCGGGAGCACGATTCGGAACGAGCGGGAGCGCGGAAATGAGGCCAGCGCTGCAGCGGGAACACGATTCGGAAGGAGCGGGAGCCCGAAAATTAGGCCAGCGCCTCAGCGAGAGCAGCATTTTAGAAAAAAACACAAGCGAAAACCCAACTCCGGGGAATCCTGTGTGTAAAAAAACAATACGCGGGGGGGTGCCGAACATCTTCCGGACGCCATCAGGGGAAGTGGGAGAGTAGTATTCATATTGTGTAATTGTCGAGGAAGAGGGGGAGGAGGGAGAGGAGGAGGAGGGGGAGGGGGAGGAGGGGGAGGAGGGGGGTGCGGAAGGGGGAAGGAGGAGGAGGGGGAGGAGGGGGAGGAGGCAAGCTGGGTGCGCCAGCGTCACATCTGGCGTCCTGCCCCTCCCTCCACATCCCGTTCCATGGCGTAGGTCCCCTCTCTATTCGCACAGTCGGATGTCGAGCAGGGCAGTGATCCCGAGAGGGTACGCGATGGATGGAAAGACATGGCGTAGAAACGCACGCCACAGCATAGCATGTCATAGCATGGTGTCCGCACAACCTGGCATCGCACAAAGGTGCACAACACAGCATCGCATTGCATGCCGTGGCATGGCACTGGATGACTTGGAGAGTACGTGGCCCGTCTACGAAAGGACAAAACCTGTCCAGAATGCTGGCTCCATGTCATCCGCAAACGTGCCTGCCCAATGTGGGCGCTTTCGAATACCAAGTGGCGTCCCGAGGCGCAAGAACGAGGCCAGCGCTGCAGCGGGACGATTTTGAATGACCGAATCGCGGAAATGAGACTGCGCTGAAGCGGGAACATCATTGTGGAAGCCGGATGGACAAAATCACATAGGAAAAATAAGCAATGAATTCCTGTGTCAAAAACAATACGCGGAGAGGACCGAGCACTCTCTGGACAGCCAGAGGAGAGATGAGAGTAGTATGCATATGATGATGAGAGGGGGGAGGACGGAGAAGAGGGGAGGGAATGAGGAGGATGGGGCCCCCATCCTCCTCCCCCTTCCAACCCCCATCTCCCTCCTCTCTGTTCCCCCCCACTCATGGGGGGGGGTCAAGGGAGGAGGAGGAGGAGGAGGAGGAGGAGGAGGAGGAGGAGGAGGAAAAGGTGAACGACAGGGGTGGAGGAGGAGATTTTGTTCATCGCGATGCGCGCACGCAGTGGAGGAGCAGGAGGAGGAGAAAGGGGGGAGGGGAAGGACACCCTCTCCCCCCTCCATCAATTTTCCATCTGATCAACTTCTCCCAATCGCACCACCAGACGGGTTGGTAGGGCGGGCTGGGCGTTCCGTGTGGGAATGCCTGCCGGCGTGTGGCCCCCAGGCCTGGATCTCCGAACGACTGCGCAGGTGGAGGGCGCGTTGTCTTCAGAAGGTGCCTCTCGCCGCAGCGCCACTCGAACTCGGCCCGTCACGCCACCTCGCTTGCTTGCTCAAGTACGTGGACGGGAGTCAACAAGGTTGCTCTCGTCTGGGCGCTGCGCGCATTCGCCCCAATTCTATCCACATCGGTTGCACTGCTCAAGGATGGGTGGGAGGGCAAGATGCGGCTCTAGCTTGAGCGCAGGGCTCGTTTACCCTTCAGAGATCCCAGCGATTAAATGAATGGACCACACGACGTGTTGAAACTTGTGACTATCGCCGCAATCGTAGTCGCGCACGTTCGCCGCACATCATGCAACTGCC